ATGTATCTCCACAGGACATCAGTACTTTTTCCCAGCTCTGCAGAAGTTTAATGAAATTTATATATTGAATTATTTCATTTAAAAGTGTGCAGTTTGAGAGAAGTTTATCGCTGTGACAAACTGACCTCAGTCCAAGCAGAACTTGCCTCTTTCTGGCCAATCAAAGAACTCCTCCTGCCTCCAAATGTCCGGATCCTGCACCAATCAGCGCCGAGCAGCTCCGAGTCAGAGGGGACAGCGAGCTCGGATAAAATCTTTGACTTCCATCCATCCTGTCAGAGCATCTTTCCTAATCCTCCTCAGGACTGTCAGAGCCCCCGCACCTCGGTCCCAGAACTCACCCGCCCACCCAGTCCAGACCGAGCTCTGGATCCCTCAGCAGCTCCTCTCAGGCCCGGATCCACTTCCCTCGGTTTGCCCTCCAACCTGTTACGCACGGGTGACGCGCAGTAGAGGGAAAGAAGGCTGAAGGGTGACGGTAGAGGGGTGGGGGGGGAAACCAAGCTCAACTTTGAAGGGGTGCTTTATTTTTTAGGGGGTGGAATTAAAAGCAACAAGCAGAGGCAGAGCCACTGGAAGTGTCGCCTGACTGACAGTCAGGAATCATGGCGGCGCTCGCTGGAGCTTTACCCAGAATGATGAGACCCACTCCTCACCAGAGCTACCCGCGGGGAGGATACTCTCTGGAGGGTAAGGAAAAGTCGACAGTACAGTTTGGTGTTCATCTTGGAGAGGAGCACAACGTAGAGAAAACTTCAGCAAAGCTGCAAAACCACGAGAAACACTTAATTTTGATGTAATTTTAAAATATATTTTAATAGAACCAATGGATTTAATAAAAAAGAAATTGTCCAAGTTTTTATTTATTTATTCATTTTTTAAGTTTGCTTGTTTAAAATGAAAATTTTCTTCCTAAATTCAGGACCATTTCTGCATCGTAACCATGTTTTAAAAACTTTGCAGAACACTAGTTTAGAATTTAAAAAAAATAAACAGAGTCAGGAAATATTCTGGAATTTCTTTACTGTCCAGTTTCCACACCGCTGGGACAGGGTCGGGTCAACCAGCTCGGAGGGGTTTTCATCAACGGCAGACCTCTCCCGAACCACATCCGACACAAAATCGTGGAGATGGCCCATCACGGCATCCGGCCGTGCGTCATCTCGCGCCAGCTGCGGGTGTCCCACGGCTGCGTGTCCAAAATCCTCTGCAGGTACCAGGAGACGGGCTCCATCAGGCCCGGGGCCATCGGAGGCAGCAAGCCAAAGGTGAGAGAAATAATAATAATAATAAAAAAATCTCAGCAGGTATATTTATTTCTGA